GGACTCCATGACACTTTGAAGCTTCTGGGACCAAACATTACCCTCTCATTTGGGTCCATAGGTAACTGAGTGAAGGAGGAAAAGCTTTACTTTGTTTTTCTGTCTTTTTACGTTGTGTCAATCATGTTCACCCCTGTCATAGGCATGCCAATCATTGCAGGTGTGTCCCTTGGTGTGTGTGTGTGTGTGTGTGTGTGTGTGTGTGTGTGTGTGTGAAAAACCACCCTAATACAGCCACCAGCAGCCAGAGAAATCCCCTTCTTCTTAGGGACTTAGGTTCAGGTAAAGTTGGATCCTTGACTCTGCCACAGAAAGGAATTTTGGGATGAGCCAGAGTGAAGCAGAGTTAGCGAGCGTAATAGGCATTTAGAGAGGGATTCTTACAGGAACCACACAGTGCATAATCTCAGAGCAAAGATGCTGGCTTCTCTAGGGAGTAAGGGTTTGTTTATGCAGCTGTGTTTGATCCTGAGGTTTAAGATACATTCCTCAAAGGATGGAATTTACATGATTTAAATATTAAGCAATGCTTAAAATTAAAGATTTTAAATTAAGGGGAAAATGTGAGATGGTGTAGTTATTTTTCGTATCAATAATTTCTCTTTGTGAGTGTACTGGTGAGGTATTTTTGAAGGTGCGGTATAGGATGTAGGGATGGATGAGAGAAGAATGCTAATACAGAGGAACTCAAGGACACAAGTGCTCTGGCTTCAGTCAGCACCATTCTTTTTTTTTTTTTAATTATTTGATTTTTATTTTATGTGTATAGGAGCGTTTCATGCATACATGCCTGTACACCTTGTATATGTTGGTGGTCATGGAGGGCAGAGGAAGGCATCAGATCCTCTGGAACTAGAGTTACAGATAGTTGTGAGCTGGTCATGAGCTGCCGTGTGGGGGCTGGGAGTTGAACCCCAGTCCTCTGAAAGAGCAACCAGTCCTCTTAACCACTGGCCATCTCTCCAGTCTCCTCATTTGTTGTTCGGAATATTTTTGTTTGAGATGCCTTTTGGTAAGCATATAGTCTCACTATAGGTAATTTTGGCTTCACCAGTCATGTTGAAGTTTCTGGGCTCTCAAAAGACAAACTAGATCTCAGAGTGGGGGACTTTTTTCCTTTCTCGGGTCCACTTAATTTTTCCTGTCTTTCTATTTTGCCTTGTGTAAGTAACCTATCTTATCCCCCTTCAAGGATGAAGGCACAGAGATCATTTTATTGTCTTAAACCTGCGGTCACTTTGAATTCCCGGATCAGCAGCGCCCCACAATACAGACCACCTCCCAGATGAAGACAAGGCTGAAGCCTTGAACAAAAGCAATCGTTTCCTGAGAACTCCGCTTATCCCCATAAGCAAAACATCTTTCTTAGACCACCTTGCAGAATGAGTCGAGACAGTGATCAATAGACCGTAGCTCAACTTTACATATACCCTGTGCCCTTGTACCCTGACTCTTGTTCATCATCCGTACCCGAAGATGAAGAGTCACCAAACTCTTCCCGACATTCACTAGCTCTCCTTCCTCTCTCCTTCATCAGTGCTGCTCTTTTTAGTTGGCATATTGCATAGGTAGCTGAGCCTCGTCTGCTGGGGCTGATGGAACTGGGGCAATTGTCCCTGGATGTCTGGCGACAGATCCACCATCTAACAGAAGTACCACCCTGGGGACCAAGCCTTTCACGCAGGAAGCCATGGCAATGCGGAACTGCTTGCTTTGTACACGGGAGTGAATACGTTTTGAAGACGGAAGTTTCCGGTCCATTTAGGAAAGCATGGAGGAGTATAGTTGTGAGCAATGCTGGGCCAGCTTTTTGCTCTGCAAGAGCCAATTTTTAAAATGAATTGTTTTCAGCAAGTAAATCAAGGAAAACATTTCAAGAGTGTGTTTTATTGTCAATTTGCCACACACACACACACACACACACACACACACCCCTACCTCAAGGGTTTCTTGGCAACCTCTGGGATTAATTAACTTTCAGTTTCCAAAAATGTACTGGATGAAATAATATTAATCCAGTGCTGAGAAACACCTGACGTGAGCCGTGCAGAGGCTGAAGCCAAGAAGTGTGTGCACCGCCTGTGTTTCCACTCTGGACAGAGCTAACAATGACAGGGAATTAGTGTAGAGCGACTGTCTGGGCTGCATTCAGTTCTCAAACATCTGTTTTGAATTCAGAGAAAGAAAGCTATTGCTGGCTGCCTTGAATTCAGTGCTTTCGGCCACCCAGTTAGAAATGTAGGTGGAGCCTGCAGCTAGCTTCGTGTTTCCACACCACAGACACTGTACAAAGAGCTTGGTACAGGCTTACAGAAGGTGGTCACGAGGTCCCATGGATAACTGAGTGCCTCAGCCCAGTTCCCAGGGGAGGTAGGGGATGGAGTGAGACAGAATGTGGGAGGAGGGAAGAAAGTGGATTAGGCAATGATCAGAGTGGCTGTCCCACCCAGTGGCTGTCCCCCCCAGTGGGGGCCCCCGGGGGGGGGGGCCCCGGGGGGGGGGGGGGGGGGGGGGGGGGGCCCCCGCGGGGGGGGACCCCCGGGGGCGGCCCCCCCCAGTGGCTGTCCCCACCATGCCCCTTCCCATTTTTTGTTGAACCAGCTTGGTTGCTATTTTCCTTCTGTGTAACAATTTGTGTGAAAGGAAGGCATTTTTTTGTTGATTTACATATTAATTTATTTATTGAAACAGTGTTGGAAGAGGGCCCGTTTATTCTTCCGGGCCACCCGGCTAGCTTAGCCCCGAAATAACCACACAGAAACTGTATTAATTAAATCACTGCTTGACCCATTACTTCTAGTTTCTTATTGGCTAATTTTTGTATCTTAATTTAACCCATTTTTATTAATGTGTATATTGCCACGTGGCAGTGGCTTACCAGGTAAAATTTTCAGCGTTTGTCTCTGGTGGATCTATGGTGTCTCTCTCTGACTCTGCTTTCTTCCTCCCAGAATTCAGTTCTGTCTTCCCCACCTACCTAAGTTCTGCCCTATCAAGCCAAGGCAGTTTTTTTATTCATTAACCAATACAAGAAACACATAGAAAGAAGAACCTTTTACACCATTTCCCCTTTTCTGTTTAAACAAAAGGAAGGCTTTAACATAGTAAAATTCTAGCAAGAATTACAGTTACAGTATTTATATCTACTTTATCTTTTATCATAACTAAGGAAAACTGTAACTATAAGTATAAATTCTTTAACTCCATCAAAGACTCCAGAAGGATATTGTACCTAAGTAAACAGAAAGTGTATTGTAAGCAACTTCTAAAACTCTAGAATTGACAGAGACACCTTGCTGCCTGGACAGTCACCAAAAGCTTTTCTGTACCATTGGGGCATCCATCTTTGGCCTTTAGGCCCATAATATTTAGCACACTTTTTTACAAAGCAGGAAATTTTTAAGACAGTTTAGTCACTTTGTTTTGTATCCTGCAGAATGTCTATCAGACTCTTTCATGAAGCAGGAACCCCAAAGGATCATCTCACCTTTAGGCAAGTTTAGCAGTCATTTTTCCGTGGGTCCTGCATGTCCAGGCAAGAGCAGTTTCTTGTCCAAATGGCTAACAAACTTCATAAGGAGCCTCTTTGATTCCATTAACCTCTTGAAGTAGCTTGGTGCTGCCCGGAGCAGATGTGTTTCATTGTCATGAAAAGTCCTAAGTTCTTAAAACATTTAAATGTCATATTTTGAAGGTCTCTGAAAGCGTTGAAGAATACCTATCTAACTGAAATATATCTCTATACATTTAGAAAATCTAACTAACATGATTACAAGCTTGACTATTATAGATGAATATCTATTATAGAGTCAGAGAGATGCCATGGATCTGCTGCCAGAGTAAGACATGTTGCTGAAACTTAGCCAGTAAGCCACTGCCACATGGTGATACACAGATTAATATAAATGGGTTAAACTAAGATGTAAAAATCAGCCAGTAAGAAGTTAGAGCTAATGGGCCAAGCAGTGTTTTTAATGAATACAATTTCTGTGTGGTTATTTTGGGGCTAAGCTAACCAGGTGACTGGGACAAACAAGTGGGCACTCCTCCTGCAACAAAACAGGATCTCACATAGCCCAAGCTGGTTTGAACTTATTATGTAGCCAAGGCTGGTCCCACCTTCCAAGTGCTGTGATTACAGATGTATGCCACCATGCCTGATTTATGGGATCAAAGTCAGGACTTCCTGGATGGTAGGAAAGCACTCTACCAACTGAGCCTCATCCTGAGCCCCTAGCAGAAGGATCTGAGGTTAACAACACCTTAGGAGTCATTTGATTGATTAAATGAGTGACCTTCTTCAGGGTTAGGCTCAGGTTTTCAGAGTAGCATGTGCTGTGGCCCTGTTAGTGCTGAGAAGTACACCTTTAGGCATCTTCTTCCTGTTGATGGCTTCACTTGCTTAGCATGAGAATCCAGTGGTTGGCAGGGGAGTGAGTGTGTGTGGCGACTCCTTGTCATGTGAAAGTGTAATGGTAGGGATGTTTCTGGGTTCCCTCTTCTACCATGCTGAGATCGTAGGCTGTCAAATGTTCCGCAGACCCCATGGATCAGTAGTCACAAGGAGGCTCAGATGTCTCGTTTTTGTTTGCTTCGGACAATGCATCTTCGTACCTGCTTTCTGGGTAAAGCTTCATTTGAAGCTAGAGACTCATGGCTTCTAGGGAGTTTGGGGACCATGGATACAGCTGGAGCTTTGCCCGCGAGGATGAAGAACTTTGAGCAAACAGAGAACAGTAGTGCAGTGGGCAGCTCCACACCTGCTGAGAGTGATGGTGGGAGAGGAAGCACTGTCAACAGATTGGCTTGAACTAAGCAGAATGGCATTCAAACTGCAGGGATCCTGAGGCTACCCCAGGTGTCTGTCTGGAAACTGGGCATTTCGGGTCTCTTGCTTCTCAGCTTCATTACTAATGTGATGGTCCAGGGTTGTCAGTACCAGGATGGAAGCTAAGGCTTCTGATACGTGACTGTACCTTCTTGCTTGTCTTCCTTTTCAGTGCACTTACATCTCTATTGACCAAGTTCCCAGGACCCACGCCATAGTGATAAGCAGACCTGCCTGGCTCTGGGGGGCAGAAATGGGAGCCAATGAACATGGGGTGTGCATAGCCAATGAAGCCATCAATGCCAGAGAACCAGCTGCTGAGACAGAAGCCTTACTGGGGATGGATCTGGTCAGGTAAGATGGTGATTCTCTGAACCAGCTGCCAGTGGGATTGGGAATTATTTTCTCCTGTAGTTACTGTATTGTAAGAAGTTCTATTTAATAGAAATTCTAAGATGATGGGGAAAATGAATAGATGATAATGGAACAGTATTCATCAATATATTAAGTACCGCTGTGTGTTACAGATAGCATCTTGAAAATATGGTATACACTAAGTAAAAGACATCAGAGACAAATGTCACATGGGTGTCACAGAAGTGACTACATAGATGAGTATGTAACATGTAAACAATACTGAAAGCTTAAAATTTAACAAGAAACTTAAGAGCTTCCATTTCAAATGTCAATTTTAATTGAACGTCACAAATCGAAGGGGGCAACTGAAGGTGACAGAGAGGGGAAGCAGGGTATTCTGGGATGTGATGGCACCTAAGTGGTACAAAATCCCAGGGCTAGCCTTCTGTAGACCTTGGGTGTTTGGAGGCTCTGTGCCAGGTGCATTTGGGATGCGCAAGGAGGATACGCTGCTCTGTGTGGATCTGCAGGCCTGAAGGATAGAGACAGAGAAGTTGTAGTTGGTGGATGATTGGTGCTGTGAGAGCTACTGAGATCTGCGTAATAACAAATGCAGGAGTGGATGATGGCTGACCCGTAGCCATGTAAGTTGACATATCCCCTGGCTCGTACATGGCTGTTGCAGTAAGAACAGTGTGGCAAATGCTCCAAGCTGGCAGCTTTCGGAGGGGGTGCACAGTCTGAAGCTAGAGTAGACTTCTAAGTTCAGGGTCCAGTTCAGGGTATGGTCCCAGCTTTAAACCGGCCAGGCCTAGTCTCTCACACCAAGTGAGTCCTGAGAACGACTCCTGAGCCCAGAGTCCCCCAATGTTAACTGGGGAGCTGTAGAAATGTGGATGCTGTAGAGCAGGGGTTCTCACCCTTCCTAACGCTGCTGCCCTTTAATCCAGTTCCTCATGATGTGGTAACCTCAGCCCTAGGACTATTTCCATTGCTCCTTCTCAATTGTATTTGCTACTGTTATGAATGGTAATGTAAATCTCTGTGTTTTCTGATGGTCTTAGGTGAATCCTATGTAAAGGTCCTTTGAGCCCCCAATGGGGTCGTGACACATATCACAGGGTGAGAACCACTGATGTAGGTCACAGCTACACTACTGCAAATGGCCAAATTCTAGGGCAGCTGGTCTCAGAGCGTGCCCTCCACGGAAACACTGCCCAGGGATCTGCTAGAAAGACAAATTCACAGCAACCCATCCGCATGATGGCACGTGGGGTTGGCCCACGGTCTACCTCAGCAGAGGTGGAGGATGTACTGCCGCACGATTGGGGATGGCTGTCCGCTGGGCTCAGCCTCCCCTGGCTCTGCTGTCAGCACCATTTCGTGTCCTTGTTTGTCCTCTGTGCTCGGCTGCCAGCTCTTGGGCAGCTCCTGGAAGAGCAGACTATTTATATTTCACACTCTGCTTCAAGTGTCTGGGAGACTGTGGCTGAGTACTCAAAGAATATAACTGCTCCCATCCGCATAATCTGGTCCTTTGTGCCTTCCACCCATCCATCAAGTCCAAGTTCAGCTCCAAGAGACAGAACTGAGTGACAGCCTTGGTTTAATAGGCACTGTCTTCAGGGTAGAGGTATGATTTGTATGTGCTTCTTGGGGGCGTCGAAGAATGCAAGCATTAAGCAACACTTGGTATAATTCATTCTTAGTGCAAAAAAACAAAGCTGTGCCTTTGTTTTGGTGTCCATTCCTTCCTTCCTTCCCTTCTCCTTACCCCCTACCTCCTTCTCTCCCCCCCTCCCTTTCTCCCTTCCTTTCTTCTTTCCTGTTTTCCTTCCTTCCTTTCCCCTTCCTCCCTCTTTCTTATTTATGGATCTCTGACTAGTCCTCCCACACCCCCCCCACATATAAACACATACACATGCATTGCTTGTTTAGTGACTATGGATCCAGCGGCTGGAAAGTAACATAAGGTGATGGGGGTTAGCAACTGGCAGGAGTTAACATAAGATGGGGTTAGCAGCTGATGGGAGCCAACATAAGATGGGGGGGGGTATTTTCTGGAAGTCAAAATGTCTCTTACAATGTAGATTCATTCAAGGCCTGCCTGTCCTGATGATGCCTCCTGACCTCTATCCAGATGAGGACCAGGAAGCATTTGGATCCCATTAGACAGTGATATGCTGGGAAATACCTAAAAGTCAGCTATATGTGGAGGGGTTAGCTCTAAACTGCGACCTTTCCAACACCTGTGATATAAAAATGCCAGCTGTGATAGATTTAAAGACAATAAAGGATTAGCAACTAGCTCAAAAGTCCCTCACATTTAATTAACCCTCTGTTGTCAGAGCAGGCCGGTGCCAGCCAACTCCACAGGGCACTGCATCTGCCCATGCACTGTGCTATCCCTTACACAACAGCACCATCCTTTTATTTTTCTGCAGAGCAATCCCGTCTTCATTTCATGTATCTGTGTGTGTGTGATGTGCATGCATGTATGCGTGTGTATGCACGAGGAGGCCCCAAGTTGATGTCTGGGATCTTTCTGTATCTCTGTCACCACATTCCTTTAGGGGGAGTCTCTCAATAAGACTCAGAACTTTCCAGCATGGTTAGTCTCACCAGTTAGCTTGCTCTGTGTATTCTGCCCTCTTTGAATTCCCAGGGCACTGAAATTACAGGTGAGCACCTAGCATTACATGATGTCTGAGCTTGGGTCCTCTGAGCCATTCCTCTGCAGACTGACTCTTCCTGCTTCTAACTGGGTATGGTGTTGGCACTAAACCTGGTCAGTCTCAGTGTTTCAGGGCATCTTATAATTCTAAACACAAACTATCAGCTTCTCCGCATGTCAGAAAAATTTGGAAAGGCCTGTGGTTTTACGGTACATTGTAAGTGAAGGCAGGCACTCACAGGTGGTGGGAAAGGAAGCTCAGTCAATGCTTGTAGAGGAAGGACCTGTGTAATTAAAGCCACAATTTCCTGAACTCCCTTTGGAAACTGGCTTGATATATGTGTTATCACATTTAACAATCACAGCAACCCGAATAGCCAGGTCTTCTAATTCCTTATGGTAGATGAGGGAAATTAGGGAAGTTAAGTGGCTTGCTCAGTGCCCCAGGGCTAGCAGGTGGCTGAGCTAGGAATACCAGGGTGCCACTTCTCTCTAGATTAGCGTGCTTTGCTTCTTCCGCTGAGACAGATCACACCGAAATGGAAAAGAGTCAAAAGGTCTCCAACACCCTCTCCCCTGTCAGAAGATGAAGTGACAGCAAATTTAGTTTTCGACTGAGTGGGCGTTTGCTCGTGATGCCTGAATCAGGGCGGCCCCTCCTTTGGGAAACAGAAGAAGCTCCCAGCAGGCAGGAGTGGAACGCGGGCTTTTACAGAGGGGAAAAGGAGAAGCTGAAGAACTCGGGGAAGGAAAAGAAACCCATTAACATTTAGGTGACTTCAGGTTCCTTTCCTCTAAGCGCTACAGTTACAGGGGCTTTCTCAGGCTGACTCAGGGGGACTAGAATCTATTGTTTGTTGAAGCGGGAGTGGGTTAACTCTGCCTTCAAACGCTCCAGTAACGGGACATTTAGCGTAGGCAGCTCCCGTTTGGATGGCCAGCTGAGGCCTGTTGCAGGAGTTCAATCCAAAACAACAACGTTCCGTACATTTTAAAATTCAAGCTCACACAGCACGTGACATTCACCTACCACTTTTCTTAGTCCATTTGGAGTGTTATAACAAATACATGACATGCTGCGAGGTTTAAATGGCCGATACTTATATCTCCGTTCTGGAGGCTGGGAAGCTCCAGATCACAGTGCCAACAGGTCCCATCCGAGGTCCAGCTGGCCACAGCAGAGAGGGGCCGGGTTTTGTGTCTCTTTGGTAAGGGCCCTGCTATCATTACAAAGACTCTGTCCTCACGGCCGCCTCTCACAGCTCTGGCTGCCACCACACAGCGGAAGTGGCTGCAGCATTTGAAGACGGACATAGACTTCCTGTTCATAGCATCACCCTGTGCTCGTCCTTTCTGAGAATACCCTTAATGTCCACGAGGCCACAAGCCAGAAGGACCTTGAGGCTGTGTGGTAGGAAGTGGGGAGGGTGATTTGTAAGAGTCCTCTAAGGCAGTGTCCTCTCAGGTGGGCTAGCAATCGTTTTCCATTAATTGCCTCAGAATAGCAGTGGTTTACCAAACTCAATCCAGCTTTCACCTAGTTTTTCTTATTTGGTGTGCAGAGGGGAGCCCCTCCTAATGTACAGAGTCATGGATACGGCAAAGCTCAGCAGGCAGGCTCCTAAACCAAAGTCAGATGCCGTTTGCCCAACTCCCCTTTCAGGAATGGGCAGGGAAGAATGACCCACACATGAACAGGCTATGGGATTTATTTATTTATTTATTTTCACAAAACAAGACTTGAATCCAGAAACATCTAACTCTTAGATCTAGAACAACTTAGATAAAACACTTTGGAAGGAAGCAGATGTCTAAATGGGACTAGCCTGAGCCCTTCCAATCCATCTCTGTCCTGGTCTTTCTTAGGCTAAGGCACAGCCACCAGATACCAAGTCAGCTTAGGCACTGGGCCAGAAGCCCAATTTGGAATCCTGTGCAGCTAACCCATCTGGGAGGCTAGTGTGGGTGGGGACATCTTCAGAACATGCCTTAGGATGCTGAGGGATGACCTCCTGTCCAGTGACTCGGGTTCATCTGTACCTCTGAAGCTCAGATAGAGGGTATGCAGTCCCAGTGTCCTTGCCTGCCCTTGTGCTGCTGCGGAGTAGGCAATCCTGTCCACCTCCCCAGGTAGATTGCATTTACCCCATGGTGTTGATCTGAGAAGCAGTGAAATCAGAATTCTACCTGCATTTTGGGATGAAGGGAAAGTACAATTACAGAAACTCGATGGGATTTCAGCAAGCGGGGACATCAGCCATGCACACTGGAATATACCAAACAGAAATTCCAACCTCCAAAGACTATTGCAAACAGCCGTGGCCACATGCTTCTGGAGTATGTTTGTGTGAGTCCTTTTGACCTGCAGAGGCCCGGGGGCATTGAGACACGAGGCATTGTGACCAAGGACCCTGGAAAAGACATTACTCCAAATCCTTGAGATGCCCCTCCTTTTAGGAGATGGTGACCCTGACAGAGGGGAATCTATTTAATGTATATTTCAGTGAGCTTGTTCTTTTTATTGATTCCAGAGGGATAGTTAATGTGCCATCTTTGATGGGGAGGAGGAAAGGGAGGGGAGAAGGGAGGTCACGGACAACAATTTGAAACCTAACTGCCCTATTTGTGAAGCTCAAGGCTCAGAATCTTCTTTTATTACTCTTTCAAGGCCCTAGGGCTCAACTTTGTGAATCTGTAATTGTCTTCCTAAATAAATGTAAAAGGAGACCTGTCAAGTGAATTGCTGCATGGTGCTGTGACTATGAAATAAGCCCATTACAGGGCTCAGTCCGCAGCTCGGGTTGCATTATCCTTTTCTTCTCCATGACAGCACAGTGGGACATCCCTTAGGAGACATTAAGTTGAGTAAATTTAAATAGTCATCTCTTCTCAAGTCATGAATTTATCAAGGACAGCCTTATGTCACCACCTAAGTAGCTCTGCTGCCCCCATCTAAGATGTGAGCTTCTACAAGCAGAGCAATAGCCCCAGTGAATGGATGAATACATGAACCAAATGCACCTTATGTGCTGATATTAGTGTGTGCACATCGCCAGTATGAGCACAAAGGGCTGGAAAGGTCACAGGACTAAGGGCATCCTGCATAACCAGAGCTGGAGCTGGGTCCATGCTCTCTGAGTTTGTGTGCCACGGCGTTCCATCTGCTGAAGCTGTTTGTTTACTAGCTTGGATCCGGCCGTTCATGCTATGTGTTCTCATATGTATTACCTTATAACATCCTGATAACCTTGACACTTTTCATAGATGGCATAAAACTGAAGCTCAAGTCTATTATGTGAGCCGCCCAAAGTCATGCAGAAGGCAGTGTCTGTACTCTCCATAACAGACTTATTTGTCGATAGGGATGGGGAAGGGAGATGGCTGGCTCACTTTAGAAAGAGCCTGTGTCCTTCTGATAGTTGATGCTATAAGCAACATCAGGTGATACAGTCTGATGTGTAGCAGGGGAGTATGTAGAAAAAGAACCAGTCATATTATAACCTGTTCCTGATGAGATCTCTGAGCAAATTATATGCTCAGAGGACAATGGCTGCCAATCAAACCTTAGAACCAGTTTTCTCCGTACACTATAGAGTGCTTTAACAAAATAACTTCAATGAGATAATTATAAACAATAGAAATGTATTGCTCGTAGTCTTTAAAACAAGGAGATCTAAGATCAAGGAAGCAGTATTTAACGTCCAATGTGGATGCATTTTGATTCATACCTACTTAGTGTGTCCTCCAATGGTGGAATAAGGCAAGACAGCTCTCTGAGGAGACCTCTTTATAAAGGACACGAGCGGCGCTCATGAGGGTGCCACCCCTTAACTTCATCATCTCCCAGAAGACCTGCTTCCTAATACTGTCTCATGGGTGTTGGGATTTCAACACGAACTTTAAGGAGATACAAATAGGCTATCGCAGTATCTGAAGCACTCACTGTAAAATAACAGTTGATCCAGGCTGTGAAGATTTTCTTAGGCTGTAGTCAGGAGGAAATTCAGGCTAGATCTGAGCTAAGATCAGCCAAGGGAAAGGAGGGGCTGATCTTCCCGTCTAAGAAGTGCAACCACTGGCCCCTGAGATGTCTGTTCTTATGGAAGGGGGTTATGTAAAGACAACACATTCCTGCAGTTTTAATTGGATGTGCGAGAGAGGCACTCTGAGTTAAAGTACGATGAATTAGTTCGGTTATTGGTCTGAACATTTAAAATGTTTCCTGACCTGGCCTTGTCCCCAGCCTTTGATGGCTATGGTAATGATCATGTCTCTGAAATGACGAAGGTATGCTTCTGATTTCTGTCAGGCTTGGCTTAGAACGGGGCACGACGGCCAAAGAGGCCTTAGACATCATCGTCTCCTTGTTGGACGAGCATGGACAGGGTGGGAATTATTATGAAGATGCGCACTCCTGCCACAGCTTCCAGAGCGCATATCTGCTGGTGGATCGTGACGAAGCCTGGGTGCTGGAGACCGTCGGGAAGTACTGGGCTGCCGAGAGAATCACAGGTGAGGGGGCGCAGGGTAGAGTTTTAAGGATAGGACAGACTGGGGTGATGTTGGTCGAATGTGCTGGACTGCTTCAGAAATGCCAGGATGCTGTGGTATGTCCTCCCTGAGCTGGTCTTCAGGCTTAGGCATGCCTCTCCCCTCCAGAGATCTGTTCCAGAGATGTATCCGGAGTCCTGTGAAAGGGTGTCAAGACTCAGGAAGTACATATGCAACTTTTTACACTTCCTGTTTGCTCTTTGGATATATCTAGTTTTGACTATAAGCCATGACTGAGTTAGGCAAGGGAATGGGGAGTCTTCAATCAGAATGGGTCAGCGAATCCCTTGTCACTCTCAGCTCCAGGGCTACTGACGACGGTTCCTCTAAAATAGAAACTTGGGTCTGTGAGGACGCTCGAGTGCCACTCAGGGCCAACCAGGTCATAGGGCTGAGACTCCATTGCTAGGAGAGCATAGACATGGCCATCTACATGAGAAGTACCATTGTAGTTCATGCGGCTTCTCGCTTCTGGGGCAGGGCTGAGACAGTAGCACCACCTCAGTACCCTCTGTCAGATTCCCAATGAGATCAGGTTCTGGAGTTGGTTAAAGGGCTTCTAAAGAAATGGTTCCAAAGAGATTTGGTCAACAGCAATCCCCTGCCCTCCTTGGGACAAGATGATAACCACACACCAGGTGTACTGCCGTTCTCCCCAGCCGAGTTCCAGGTAGCCTAGCTACTGTGCCACCACACTTGTATCCTGTTAAACTTCTACATGCCACATTTTTTTTCAGCACATTTTTTACTACCAAGTCTTTACCAGTTAATTATGAACGATATTAGCTATGCTTTCTGTTTGCCACCCTAGTGTTTAGGTAATCAGAATCAAATCTGGCCTGAGTCAGGTCTTCTACAGTCACTGGGAGTCAAGCCTGATTTTGGGCACAGGTTCCAGTGACCAAGGCTCCCCCAAGACATTTATGTGTTGCCTGCTAAGTTGCCCTACTAAGACCGAGAAGTCTAGACCAGTTTCCTGTGCATGTGAAGATTGTCTGCTCATTCTCATAGGCTGTAGGATGGGCTAGCAAAGCCACCAGCAGCCCAGGGAGTTTTTCTGCATCCACATGGCCAGCTCACATCTCTCAGGGCGGGTGCGAGCTCCCTTCACAGGCCTTAGAGTGTTTGCAGAACAAAAGCCCCTTCTCCAGACCCCCAGCTCTCCTTCCCTGCAGGAACTTAAAACTCCTTTACAGAAACCCCCCTAAGATAAAGTGATGTTATCGAATGGCTCTCAGGAAGGCCACTGGGCTGTGCTTCAAAGCGGTCTAGTTGCTTTTAAGTAGAATCTCAGACTTTTTGATCTATAATTGCATTTCAGAAGCCGCGCTTCCTTCAGAGCATCGCTTAGAGAAGCCCATCTCTACAAAATGAGTGTTGTTTTTCACTAAACGGTTCTTCTTCAGCAGCCATTTTCTTTTTACTCATTGATTTCCTGTTCTCTGACCCCCATCAGCATTGTGATTGATGTTGGTAGGAGTTAACACAGTCTGTTCTCTCAGTTCTGAGTCTTAAAAACAAACGTCTACTGTAAATTAGCTCTCTAGGAAAATAACATCTGTCAAGTACACAAGAATGTTTCTTTCTTTGAATAGTTTAGTATGAATGGTATCAAACTCACTTGTTTGAAACTGTTTTCTGTTTTGCTTAATTAAATTTTATATTAGCAATATCCTCCGGGGAAAAAAAATGAATGGCCAAGAACCAGTGCCTCTCAGTCAGGAGTGCATATTTTGGAGGTTTACATCATTAAAGCAAGGCATCATGGGAAAATTCAGTCCACCTGATCTTGCTTCTAGGGACCTGGAGTCAGGCAGCAAGGGCTCTCTCTGCCTTAGAGGGGTTCAGGAAGGAAGAGGTCCATTGCAGCTTCTTCTTTAGCTCTTATTTCATTCTCCAAGAATCTGGAAGCTCAGTGAGCTCCCTGGGAGCAGCCTATGTGAATGACCCTTTTGACCTAGCAATGGTAACCTGGCCTCTGCAGTCTAGACAGTCCCTTGAAGCTTAGGGACCAAGTGACCCTCCGTCTGTGCAGGTGTGTGATGGTGGTGGCAGGATCGCTCGTCTAGGAGAAGGAGCCTGTGAATGTCGTGGAGCATCCCTGTGGAGCAGTGGTTCTCAACCTTCCTAATGCTGCAACCCTTTAATACAGTTCCTCATATTGTAGGGACCCCCCCAGCCATAAAATTATCTTCATTGTTACTCTATAGCTGTAATTTTGCTACTGTTAGGAATCATAATGTGAACATCTGATATGCAACCCTCAGTGGGGTCATGACCCACAGGCTAAGAACCACTGCTGTAGCAGAATCGCATATATAGATTCCCCCAAGTCTTGCAAGCACGGCAGTCCTTTCAAAGAGCTGCTCAATTTTCCTGCAGACATGAATGTTTGGGGCTTATTTAGTCCAAATAAAGGGCCTTGAGGATTTCATTTTGTTGGTGAATTTAAAATCGGTAAAGCTGATGTCCCTCTAAGCTATAATAATGTCTGATGGAGACAGGCTAGACCTTTAGGACGTCTCTTGGAGCAAGGATCAAGAATTTCAGGTTTCTCTCCCTAGGAATGGACGTGATTCCTCGCTGCAGTCTTGGGGTTCCCCCCACTAACCACACATCAGAACGGATTCCTCCCTGCAGTCCTGGGGTTCCCTCCACTAACCACACATCAGAACAGATTCCTCCCTGCAGTCCTGGGGTTCCCTCCACTAACCACACATCAGAACAGATTCCTCCCTGCGGTCCTGGGGTTCCCCCACTAACCACACATCAGAACGGATTCCTCCCTGTATTCTTGGGGTTCCCTCCACTAACCACACATCAGGACGGATTCCTCCCTGCAGTCCTGAGGTCCCCTCCACTAACCACACATCAGAACAGATTCCTCCCTGCGGTCCTGGGGTTCCCCCACTAACCACGCATCAGACTCTTTGCAGAGGGAGTGAGGTGCATTTGCAATCAGCTTTCGCTTACCACGAAGATGGACGAGGAGCACCCAGAACTCAGGACTTACGCTCAGAGTCAAGGCTGGTGGACGGGAGAGGATGAATTCAATTTTGCCCAGGTGTTTTCTCCAGCTGATGACCACCTGGACTGCTGTGCAGGCAAAGACAGCTTAGAAAAGCAAGAGGGTAAGTTAACCTGTTCCTTACGATTCTCCTTCTTCTGCTCTTTGGTTCTTGACTGAACTTTAGAGGGTCGACAAAGAGGAGTGAAGAGTAAGCCTTGCACGTTAAAGACCAGCTTATACCTTCCATCCTTGGTGTGCAGGGAGGACACAGCCTGTGTGTGTTATGTGCAGCTTCCACCTGTAGGAAGCCGTGGGGTTTCGTATTCCTCCTGATGTGAGTACTGCTGTCATGTGATCCTGTGTGGCTCTCACTGCAGCCTTCCTTGTAGCTCCAGAAACTGGCTAGAACCCCTCTTCTCCAGCCCACTTAGCCTGTAGGATAAGCCTTTTGCTCATTTTGAGATCCTCCCGTGGTACCTGGTTACTGCTTCTATCCATGAATTTCTGCACTGGACCAAACTGGATTCTCTTTATAACCCATTTGTGCCATACATCAATGCCATACATCCCTAAATTCTTGTTAAGAACCCATATTTAGGTAAATGTGTTGAAAAGATAGCTCCATGTTTTTTGTGTGGATAGACACTGCCCCTAGGCCTATAATGGTCACATTTTGTATTTGCTAATTCTACATGCATATCTGTCAACCAAAAGATCATTTAGAGCTAATAGCTGCAAACTATGTCCTCTAGCAGCAGCTTCTTTGGTGAATAAAGTTTTATTCAAAAACAGCCATGCTATGCTAGTCAGTGTAGCAAAATGCCAGAGATTAAAACAAAAATACTTATCAGGAGCAAATGTTTGCTTTAGGTTACAGATTCAGAGATTTTGGTGCATGATCAGCTGTTCTGTTGATTTTGGGTCTGAGGTGGGAGCAGGTGTCACCGCAGGAGAAGCATGTTGAGGAAGCTGCTTGCCTCATGGTGGCTGGGAAGCAATGAAGTGTGTGTGTGGGGTGTATGGGGGGCAAAGTCCCCATATCTCTTCAAGACCGCATCCTCAATGAACCCATCTTCCTTATAATATTCCCTCTCACATAGCATCGTAGCCTGAGGACCAAACCTTCAGCTCTTGGGTCTTTGGAGAACATTGCAAGTCCAACTGTAGCACAAACTCACTTCATTCTGTGCCGCCTATGGCCACCTTCATCCAACAGTGCTGGAGCCGAATTGCTATGGGGACAGTGTGGTGGATAACACGTGGTCCTGGGCTTAAACTATCTTCTCTCTGGTTCTTTAGGAAAATGTTTTCTGACCCTCAATGTAGAATATTGCTTTGGGATTTTGCTGTAGAAATTGTTGTATATAAAGGCATGGAAGTATTCATTTTTTAAAATTTTTATTGTTTAATGTATTTTATTAGCAAACTTGGAGGAGCAGCACAGAAGACAGACAATATTAAAAACATGTACTTGCATGTAGAACAACTCAGCAAAGTACAGTGAATGATGGAAGATACCACATGATAAAAATGCTACAAACACCATTTAGTTGCCGTCAATAAGAAATTTACTTATTTAAAAAAATCCAAATGCTGGCATTGTCCAGAAAATTTTAACAGGCTTATTTATAATTGTTATAAAGTTGAACTGTTGAAATGTGTTCACTGAAACATTTTGCTTGCATTAATGCTTTACATCTTGCATTTATATTAAAAATTCACTCACAAATGAAAATGGAAAAACTGCCAGTACCTGATTTCTGTCCCCTATTTTTCCACTCTCATTCATTATACTTAGGTACCTTTTGACCCCATGGGGAAAAAAAACCTAACATTCAGAACTACTGATAACAGGAAGAAAAAGAAAAGGGTGGTTTTTTTTTTTTTTTGAGAATAAAATGTTTTCCCTCATAATGGACTCTTAAGCACGTTCTCCGTGTATGCAGTGTGCTAAATGGATATCTTTTGGCATAATTGTTACACGTTTGGCATGGGTAGCACACAGGTTGGTATCTTCAAAAAGGCCAACCAGATAGGCCTCACTTGCCTCCTTCAAAGCACCAATAGCTGCACTCTGGCAGTGTGGATCTGTTTTGAAGTCCTGAGCAATTTCTTGCTCCAGACGCTGGAAGGGGAGTTTGGAAATCAGAAGTTCAGTGGATTTCTGATAGCATCTGAATTCATGGAGTGCCAGTACCAGGTCTGTCACGATGAGGTTTCTTCACCCCTCCAGGAGAGGGCGCACTCTTGCGAGCGGCTTTTATAGTCAGTTGTTTCCTGGGTGGTTTACCACCGGTGGATTTGCGGGCAGTCTGCTTTGTAGGAGCCATGGTATGGGCACCTACTTGCTTACCCCCCCTTCTCCTTTGACTGGAGCTAGGCAAGCAAGAGGTGGCACTGGCGTTAGAATGGAAGTACTCATTTTTAAGGAGGATCTTTGTGAAAAAGTTCTAAAGGTTTTAAGCTAAAACAGAACTAGTGATGAAATTCTCTATCCTGCTCAAACATGAGCCCTAAATCGGCACAAGTTTACCGGAAGCAGAGGGTGGAGGGGCCTGTGCTAACTCCAGGTGCCCCTGCACAGTGCGGACCACCTGCAGACACCGCCGCAGGAAACATGGCAGGGACTAACCAAAGGGCAGAGACACACACAAAAGATGTCAGAGACACTGCCAACCTGTTAGAGACAGATTAAAACTAATATGGTGGTGAGGCAGGAAATCGAGACATTGGGTAGGAAACGAAATCAAAGCCATTGCTAATAGTTTGTGTAAAATGTAAACAGAGATTTACAAAGTGGACCTGCATTGTACTGGGCCATCCTGCCCCTGGCTGAGTCCATCTTGGTGCACACAGGCTGAGAGTGGGATTGGTGGCTTGCATGCCTGGTTTTGGTACTTTGGGGAGGAGTTTTGAGGAAGAGTGAATCTATTACAGGTTCTGACATGAAACCTGGAGTCCAAGACTGGCCAGCTACTTCTTCACATAACTACCATATTTTGGTTTTGTTTTGTTTTGGTTTTGTATTTTGAGAAAGGTTTCCATGTGTAACTCAGGCTGTCCTGGAAATTACTATGTAGCCCAAGCTGGCCTCAAATCAGTGCCCTTTCTGCTTCAACCTTCTGAATGCTGAGATTATAGGCATGAACTACCACATCCAGCTAAAAGACTGTTTTATAGACCCATAGTCACAGAAGGACATGATGGAACGGGATCGCATGTAGTCAGGGACTTCATCCACTCATCTTTAGAGCCCAAAGTCTGAGTACTCTAAATGCTTCTTTGTGTTTCATTTCATTCTCTTTGTGTTTTTTGTTCTTTAAAAATATAATGTGGCATGACCATAGCCGCTAGTCCAGGCAGAGATGGCTAGAGCGGTGCAGGTTCGCCGTGGGCGGGTGGAGACCCCGACAGGCTGGTCCTGCCATGCGGCCTGGAGAGCAGGTGGGCCGGTGAGCAGACGGCGGAGTAAATGAACATAAAGCTAAACATAAGGCTAAACATTTATTACTTAAAGAAGAGGCAGAGAGACAGACAGAGAGACATAGAGGAGACATGTGCACACGCTGAGAGAGGGGACAGAAGGAAGGCTAAGATGGTGACAGAGAGGTCAGAAGTGGCTGGGAGTGGGCGTGGCTTGTCCCTTAAAGAGACCAGACCAAAAGAATATCAGTGTTTGATCATTCTTCAAATAGAATCCATACCCCGAACAGCCAGTAGGCGTTAAGGTGAGAGAGTGGAGGGTCATGTTAGGACCTCACGGCTTCCTATGTGTCTGTTTAGTCATTGCTCTAGAAGATCTGAATTAATATGATTTAAAGGAAATAAAAGTTATTTCCTTCCCACATTAGCATCTAGATAGATAGAAACAGTCCAGGGTTGGGGACTTTTCTGTTCAACTCTGGGCTGCAGTTTGTGAACCACTGGTTGGCTTCTCCCACTCAGCAGGAAGGCGGGAGGAAGAAGTGCAGGACCAAACATGGATGTGACCCGAGATGAGCATGCACTGTTTCTGCTCATCTCCCATTGGCCAGAGTTGATCAGGGCGAGTGGGAATTTGAGAAGTAAAGAAAGAAAAAAGTGACTCCGTTTTGGCTGCCAGCCTTCATAATTATACATTCCTTCCCCTCTCTCTCTCCCAGAAAGTATCACAGTGCAGACGATGATCAACATCTTACGAGACAAAGCCAGTGGAGTCTGCATAGACTCCGAATCGTTCCTCACTACAGCCAGCATAGTGTCTGTCCTGCCTCAGAACAGAAGTTCACCATGCATCCACTACTTCACTGGGACCCCGGATCCTTCCAGGTTTGTCTAAAACACCTCCGGCAGGCCAAAGCTCCTGGCCATGTCCTTCCCTTGCATTCTTTTCTCAGTTCTCAGCCTGGGCACTGTAGTGCAGGAGCTGTGTTTAGGTGGTGCTCGATCACAGCCTCATAGGGCTCACTCTAGTCACAGAGCCCAGTTATTGTTGTTAAGTATAGATCATAGGCCAAGCATTGTGTTATAGATGGAGATGTATAAAACACAGTAAGAGCCAGATACAGGGCTACCAAAGGTTTGCAGAGAGACCCAGTTCTTGTGAGTTACTGGACAAAATGGCCCAGGGGTGGTACAGAGGGAAGTACCTGCCATCTTTTGATGGGTTTTAGAGAGCTGCTTTCTGTCCACCTGCTTCAGTTGGGAGGCAGTCCTGAACAGTGCTGAGGAGGCATCCTCTAAGAAGAACAGCCAGGGGTTTAGGTCTCCCACTTCTAGTATCGTGGGTCTGCACCACCAGAACTGGCTGGATGTGCACCGCCTTAGCGATTACGTTCCAGTCAGTCCTTTCCCTACCTTCTACTCAACCAGCTCAGCCGTCCTCACGGCCCTTCTGCTGGCCCTTTCCGGTGCCATCCACTCTGCAACATTCCTTGTACTCCCTTTGGATGCCCCCACCCACAGCTCCGTCTGCTCATCTTGATTTTAGTTCCATGTTCTGGCCTTGCAGATCCCAGTTTTCACTTCTCTGTGTCCAGGCCCCTTCAAGGCTAAGACTTGGTCTCCCAAGGGCTCTGTGGGCCCACAGGGGTCTACCGTGGCAGCGAGAGTTTTGTTTCTGAGTCCGGAGTGTTCTGCCAAGGTGTACAAGGTGTACTCCTCTTTAGGCTACAGGAGTCTTTCTTTCTTTCTTTTTCTTTAAATTTACATTTATTTTTTTATGTGTGTGTGCATGCACACAGACACACATGAAGAGGTAAGACATTTTCAGTTCTCTTCTTCTGCCTGTTTTGGGCACAGGGTCTTTCTTGTTTTGCTGAGATGCATATCTGAATTTCCAGTTGATTCTGTCCCCATCTTACTGTCGGACTGTTAGAATTACAGGCGAACACTACTGTTATCTGGATTTTCGTGTGGTTTCTTTGGACTTGAACTTGAGTCATCAAGCTTGGGTGGCAAGTGCTTCTATGTTCTGAGCTATCTCCTGCCCCTGTTGTATCATCTTAAATTCCCACCACAGTGTGTGAGCATTTGCATTTTCCCGATGACGGCTGCCTCTTAGGACCTATTGGCATGTTAGGTTGCTGTCTTTTCTAGACCTGTATATTAAACCTATTGTTTCTCCACTTTAGGATTTAGGGGATTTCTAATGTATTTTGCTTTTTTACAGTCTCTGTCTGTAGCCCTGACTGTCTCAGAACTCATTTGGTAGCTAGATTGGAATCAGACTTACAGCAATCCCCCTGCCTGTGCATCCTAAGTGCTTGATCACAAGCATGTGCCACTATATCCAGTTATATGTTGAATGTCAGTCTTCTGTTGGAAATAGATACCGGAGTCTTTCAAGTAGTGGGTCTGGATGAACTGTGCTCCAATGCCCGGCTGTGTGGAGGCCCTGCTCTAACTTTGCATAGGATATAAGACTTTTCATCTCCAGAACACACAGAGAAAGGAATCCTATTGCCCAGGCTGAAGCAGGCAGCTTAATCCAATTATAGAAATGGGTTGTGAAATCGCCTTCAGGTACTTAATGGGAATTTTAAAGTAGTTTTAAAAGAAATTATTCCCAGTTAAATTAATTGAAAGACCTCATAGATGATTACAGGCCTTTGAGAAGACAGTTCAGCATTGTCTTCTGTGGTGAAGCGGGCTGTGTCACCCACGGTGACTCAGGACTGCAGTTCTCAGCCTGTGCTCTGTGATTGGGCACACTGAACGCTATCTTTTGTAGTCAGGTGCTGTAATTTAGGCGATCTCACAGTTGTCTGCTAATATTAACATACAGAGATGCTTCGAGACAGTGAATTTCCCCTCCTAGTTGGTATCAGGACCAAAGGAAAGCCTCTGCCTGGGCTCCGTCTGCTTGGGTACTTCTTTGTCATGTCCCACACGCTAACCTGCAGATCTTAGCTGGCCTTCACATCCGATGACTTTCCCCTTTATCCCTCCGTCTCCCAAGCCCCCTCCTCTCGTATGAATTTGAGAGTGACAGGGGAGGCAGAACCAGCCCTTAAGTGCTTGAGGGAGAGGCGAAGGCATTGATCCAGTTTGCTGAGGAGACAGAGTCTACCATGTCACCACTCCGCTGAGTCAGCAGGCTCTTCCCTTGCTGACAGAGCGATTCTGGTTGGCTGTGGGGAGCCGGATCTGACCTGCAGGAGCCATTTCCTGAGAAACCAGAACTTGTGGATGCTCCACTGGTGTGACAGGTTGGGAGGGAAAGGATATTTAGAGAGGTACCTTGGCTCTTTAAGACTGTCAAGTGTGCCAGGTGGGCAGTGATGGTACACGCCTTTAATCCCAGCACTTGGACTGCAGAGGCAGGGGGATCTCTGTGAGTTTGAGGCCAGCCTGGTCTACAGGGAGAGTGCTAGTACAGACGCTAAGGCTACAGAGAAACTCTGTCTCAAAAAACCAAAGGGGATAAACAAGAGACGATCAAGTGTAGACTTTTAGGGTATGTGTCAGCCAGAGCACTTGTGTTCACCAATGCCGGCCCACGCGTTGTGGTGTCTTTGGTGGCTGAATGGGCCACAGAGAGCGTTTATACCTCAGAAGTCGGCAAACACCACAAGTCTGAACTTATTTCTTTTGAGAGGTATAGTTGTTAGACTGGGACAGCACTGAGAGGCCGTGGATGTAAGCAAGCTCCCAGAGACTCAAGGATGGGGACACCAAGGGGAGAAGGTATGGTCCCCTTAACTACAGTCACCTTAGCAGGAGAGATGGCGCTGAGAGACACAAGGCACAGCACCCCTCAAGGATTGGCCCAGATTGTATCATCAGGGTAATTGTCAGCCTTGGGTGCTACCTGTTGGTTCCTAGAGGAATATAAAAGGCTGCTGGGTCCACAGGGCACAAATTACACAAACATATGTGGACCAAATGGCACCCAGATCCTATTCAGTTTCATTCTGAATCCCTCTACGTCATCTCTCTGCCCTTTCCCTATTATACTTCTGACCTTCCAAAGTACCTCCAAGCTTCTGTTCTACATCTGTCCTGTGCTCCCCAAGTTCGACTCTCCTTCCCAGTGCTATTACACACTGTCCCCAGTGCTCCTACACAATCTCCCTTCTCAGTGCTCCTGCACACTGTCCCCAGTGCTCCTACACAATCTCCCTTCCCAGTGCTCCTGCACACTGTCCCCAGTGCTCCTACACAATCTCCCTTCTCAGTGCTCCTGCACACTGTCCCCAGTGCTCCTACACAATCTCCCTTCCCAGTGCTCCTGTACAGTGCACGCTCCTCCACTGAGTGATTCTGATCTCAGCCAACAGTAAGATTAGAGTGACATTGGCGTATGTCCACAGATGCACCATTTAGAAAGATTCCTACATTTTGAAGGAAACTGGTTATTATGCGCAGGTTTCCCCCCACTGGGGTCAGGGTTGAACAGATTCATCTAGAGCTAGAGTCAGTGCATTGCTCCTTTCTTGTGTTTCCTGTCCCTCAGCGACTTTGGTCACAAGATGAGCCCAGCATAGTCACTTGGGAAGTGTTTTTTCTTCAGCAGGAACAAAGGTGTGTCTGAGGTTAGACTATTGGCTAGCCAGAGCTACTGTTTCTTATAGTAATACATGTGTATAAAGCCACAAGGAGGATTAAGAGTGAGAAGCGGTGGGGAAAGCTTACTTCACATTGAGAAGATTTGTCTGAATTTAGCCACCTATTTGAAATGCAGTTTTGGACAAAGCACTGAACTCTGTGAATCTCAGTCATCTCATGTGTAAAATGGGGCCATTCCCTCCTACCTGGAGCAGTGTGGCCCGTGCTGGTGTCTGGGAGGTACAGCCATGACTCAGAGAGGCAGTTTCAGCTTTGACACCGCCTCGTTGTGTGACCTTGGTCAAGTCATTTCATCTCTGTGGGCGTTAATTAGCACTCATTCAAGTGCATTGAAGAAGTTGCCATCTGAGGCTCGAATGTGGAAAGATGCCCTTATCTACTGAGAATCATAAATGTGCTTTGCATTAAAGATTGGCCAAGAATTAGGATGTTTGTTTTCACACTGCAGTGTGCCCCCCCCATTTTCTTTGTAGAGCATGGGCCAGCTGATGATGAAACACGAGTGACAGGTATTTCTTCAGTCAATTATTAGCAACAGTTGTTACCACTTATCATAACTAGAATTATATGGTTTTGTTCTTTATATGATTTATCCAATCTCAAGCTTACCATCAACCACACATTCATGCCTTATATTTTTAGAAGTTGAGGATGCTGACTTTTTTACAGACTGAAAAGGATATCTGGGGAAGTTTTGACAGATCCAAATATTATGGGTACCTGCTCAATACTTAGTGTTCAGTTTTCAAATAGAAAGGGTAGCTAAGACGGCTAAACATATGGTACACATTGCCTTAGAAAAGCTACCTGGCGCTTGACAGCATCGTTAAGTAACTGAGATCCAGCAGGTGGTGAGGAAGACTGACACGCTGAATTCCTACATCTCACTCCATTTCGTTTAATATATTGAATGCAGAAGGTTAATAAAAAAGCAAACCTATGGATGGCAGGAACTTACTGAAGTTGGAATGACAAGTCTACATGCCTCATAGAAACAGACATGTTTCTCATGGAAAGGCACAGAGCTAGCAGGGTGGTCTTAGGCACTGGAAGAAACCACAGCCACCACCTCAGTGCACTTGAGAAGCAGAGAAAAACTACTGACCTTACATCTGCCCAGATGCAGAGCAACTTCTCACTCCCCCACCCAGCCTCTGTCCAGTTGTCTGTGCCCCCTGTTCTCTCTCAGTTTAGAGCAACTGGGCTTCCACACCTGGTCCTTGGCAAGGGCCTCCCACGCACAGCAAGCAGGGCAGGGCTCTCTGGAAGAGACCACTCCCCCCTCTTAGAGTAGAGGTTGGTGGACTGAGGAGGTAGCATGTCACAGATGGATATCGCGTGCCCTGGGGTCAGAGAGAATGGGAGAACTCCTTCCAAGGAGCATCTACTCAACTCCTCGGCAGTTCTGTCGGTCACTGGCTCTGTGTGGTACAGCCCTGAGCTGACTCTTTGGACCATGTGGGCAGATGGGTCTCTGTGCCGACCAGGTGTTTGCTATACCACATTCACTGACGCAGCCATCTAAGTGCTGCTGCCTTATGGGACAGGGTGGGTGCTTACGGCATTGACAACTGTATGGTCGGAGACCGGAAGAACTGATGGCAGAAGTCTGGATGCCGTGGGTGCTGGCTTCTTTCTTCTTCTCCCTCTCTTCTCCCTAATGAGGTCATCACAATTGGTTCAGGCAGTTTGAAGCTTGGTACTAACTCCCCCTTCACACCCAGCAGTTTAGAGAAGAGAAAGCAAAGATCCATTTCCAAGAGGCTGCAGGAAGTGGAAATGTGTTCCTGTGACCATGGGTAGCTTCCCTCTATTCTGGGATTTCTTGTGGTAATGGCTGGGTAACAGGGGCCCTGGGACAGCCTCGTTAGGCATGTCTTGTGCGGTCTGGCAGAGAGGGCCGAGAAATGGGTCGGGTTTTTTGTTTTATATTTTTGTTAGTTCTTTGAGTATTTCTGTTTGAGTCCCTCCTCATTTAAAAATATTATTTAAAAAATGTGGATGAGTGTTTTTACTTGCATGTATCTTTATGCATCACATGCATGCAGTGCCTGCAGAGGCCAGAAGAGGGCTTCTGATGCCCTGGAACTGGCCTTCCAGAAGGTTGAGAACTGCCTATGGGCTCTGGGAATTGAATTCAAGTCCTCAGCAAGTTTTCTGATGCTGTCTGAGGTTTCTGTCCTGCCTGGTTTCTGTCTTCACACCAGGTCCCATAGCCGTTTAGCCCCCCAAAAATCAGAAATCACACAGAGGTCTATATTAATGATAAACTGATTGGCCCGTTAGCTCAGGTTTCTTATTAACTCTTATAACTTATATTAACCCATTATTCTTATCTATGTTAGCCACATGTCTCAGTACCTTTTTCAGCAGGGCAATCACATCTTCCTTCTTCTGTGATTGGGACAGGCCTGGGGAGGAATGGGCTTCCTCCTTCCTGGAATTCTCCAGTTCTCATTGCCCCACCTCTACTTTCTGTCTGGTTGTCCCGCCTATACTTCCTGCCTGGCTACTGGCCAATCAACGTTTATTTAAAACATCATTGACAGAATACAGAATTGTCCCACACCACTCTGGTGATCTTAACTACTGAGCCATCTCTCCAGCCCACCTGGCCCCTCGTTTTTCACCAATTCTTTGAGAATTTCTGGTGGATCATTTCTGATGACTGAGTCTCGCTGACAGGACAGGAGAGTCACAGATACCTGTCCTTAGCCTGCACTACTCACTCTTGCAGCTCAGATGCAGAGGTTGAGTTGCCTTTGGTGGTCAGGTTAAACGAACCTGGGACTTACTATTGAGCTTTCTTTCCTACCACAGCTTTGAAAAAGAAATCTAGAGGTCATTTATCAGCCTGTTGCTCACGACTGGTGTCCCTTGATCTGAGTTATTATGAATCCCCTCAGGCCTTGCTGAATGCAGATTCTGCTTCAGTGGAACAGGACTGGGTTCAGGCCTCTGAGGCATGTTTATGCTGCAAATCTAGAGATGTATCTAAGACCACAAGGGTGACTGGTTCATGGTCCTTTTCAGGTCACAGTGCCTGTGATTGTGTGGCACAATAACAAGGGAGCTCTGGCTGCCCCTAGCCTCAAATACGCCAGAGCTGAGGAATTCAACATCCCAGCTCCCTTTTAACCTCTTCATGGCTTCTCATAGTGGGCCACATTACGCTGAGAGAAGAAAACGTGTAAGCCACACAAATGCGTCAGAGCCCACGGAGTGTGAAAGGCTCAGTTTCTCCTATTGTTACTGCAAGTGGCCCCCAGGGTGTTTGCCAGAATTGCACCTCTGTCCCAGCAGGGTTTTCTATGGGCGGGGAGGGGGAGAAGAATAAGACTTTCTTTTAGCTGTTAGTCCACTGTGGGTCTCTCTCATTCTGCACAGCTCTTTATATGAATGACTGTACTTACATGATGTGTACCTAGGTATGCACAGGTACACGTGCCATGTACCTGGACTCTTGCATCTCCTCCAAGCAGGAGAACAGGAGTCCACTGGAGCAGGCGGTAACAGCCACCTTCTCTGCTCCACCTAACTCTTAGACCACCAGCCTTCTGTTTCCCTCATTGTGTCCCCTCTGGGGCCTCTGGGCTTAGCTGATATCACCTTAATCTGGCCTCCTCTAGTCTATGAGATACTTCAAAGATTTTTCAAGAAAGTAGACCCTTACGATCAAAACTGAAAACCACATCAGCCCTCTGTTCCATTCAAATACATGGCTTATTCTGCCCCGGTCTGCAGCACTGTGTCTACTTGCCCTTCTTTCCCAACAAAAGGGGGCCTTCCTTCCAGAGCAGCAAAAGTCTGTTTTGACGTCAGCCTTGGTAAATGGCTGTTGGTTTTATAGAAATCGTGACTAAAGCACACAGCTGTGTCCCTCGGCCTGACTTGCCTGCCTCAGTTGGCTCATCACTGGATACTCCAGGCGCCAAGCTCAGCCTGACTGAAGCAGCTCTCCTTTCTTTCCAGGTCCATATTCAAGCCATTCATCTTTGTTGATGATGTAAAACTTGTCCCCAAAGCGCAGTCGCCCTGTTTTGGTGACGATGACCCAGCCAAAAAGGAACCTCGGTTCCAGGAGAAGCCAGACCGCCGGCATGAGCTGTACAAGGCTCACGAATGGGCACGTGCTGTCATCGAGAGTGACCAGGTGAGCCTGGAGGAGGTCCAGGGAGGAAGGTGTCAGGAAGGAGGCAGGGAGGCGGCTGGCACACACATTCCTCTCCTCCTTTTTCTCAGAAAGAGAGGGCAGGTGTTAACTTTCCTGTCAATTCTCCTGAAACCAAACCAAATGAAACCTCTGCTTTTGTGGTTACCCTGAATCCAGCAGGACAAGCACCCCTTCCTTAACCTCGGAGAAGCAGAGCTGTGCTATCTAAAGCCTTTGTGTGCTTTTGGGGGATGAAACGCTGTACTGCATGGAATTGGCATATTCAATGGTCATATGCCATTTCTAAACAGTAGCTACCCCAAGGCTGTGTGAACTTGGGTATCATAGTGTGAGTGTGTGGAACATCTCCATACCCAAATGGGTCAAAAAAGTAGCTTCTATGTTATGAATATTCTATCATGATACAAAAAAAAAGACTCTCAAGTCCTCAGTATTTTAGAAATAATTCCTCAGAGTACAACTGTTCTATCTGAAAAGCTTTGGTTAATAAAGTCAGAAGACATCAACTCAGTGAAGAAAACCCTTAGTATCCCCTAATATTCCCTAGCGCCCAGCAAAGGCTCACAGTAGCCTTCAGTGGTGAGTTTTCATGGAAACCATAAGCCTATGCTTTGTTTTAGAGAGAGGGAAGGAAGAAGGAATATGGTTTGTCAGACATTCATACGCTCTCCCCACCATTTGTGTGACAACTTCTGTAGGCCTAAGCTGTCCTGAAGGAAGGAGCCACCTCTAGCTGAACTGGGGCGCACACTTCATTTTCTTTTGTAGAATTATTTTTATTCCTGTGTCTCTGTGCACATGTTTGCAGGTGTCCAAGGAAGCCAGAGGTGTCAGATGCCCTGGATCTGCAGTTACAGGCAGTTTTAAGTTGCTCGACATGGGCGCTAGGATTTGAACTCAGGTCTTCTGAAAGAGCAGGGTGTACACCTAACTACTGAGCCGTTTCTCCAGTTCCCCATTTCCTTATACATAATAGGCAGGACACCTAGCATCCTCTTCTGGCCTCTGCTTGCATGCACATAACACATATATATACAGGAATGCACATGTACACATGCATCATACACACATAAGCCACATTGTTTTAATTTGCTTTCTGTTGCTGTGGTAGATACCATGACCAAAAGCAACCCGGGGAGGAAAGAGTTTATTTGACTTCCATGTCTGGATCACAGTGACCTGTGGAGGGAAGCCAAAGCAGGAGCTGAGAGGCAGAAACTGAAGCAGAGACCATGAGGGATGCTGCTTACTGGCTTGCTCTCCATGTCTGCTCAGCCTGCTTTCTTATATACCCGATGACCATCTGTTCAAGGGTGGGGTGGTTCTGTTCACAATGAACTGGGCCTTCTGAGGCCAACCACTCATCAAGAAATTCCCCCACAGACTTGCCTACATTCCAGGGTGATCGAGCCATTTTCTCAGCCAAGGTTCTTTCTTCCCAGATGACTCTGTCTTGTGTCAAAGTGACAAAAACACTACCCGGCACAACTGACCCCTTACCAACCTGACTCATAAATGCATAACCTTTCCTCTCTTGTTCATCGTTAAGATCTCATGTTAATATCACAATATAAAACAGCATAACTTTGCAAGTCCTAAAGTCTTTAAAAAGTTTAATTCTTTAGTCAGGTGTAGTGGTAAAAGCCTAAATTCTCTTTAAAAATCCCACATCTCTTAATTTGAGATACTATAAAGTGAAAAATAAGTTACATGCTTCTTATTTCAAGAAACTAAGAACCAGGGCACAGTTAAAATCAAGTCAAAGCAAAACTGACATCCAGCAGTGTAAATCGAATCCTGTAGCCTACAGCCTAGTGTGGCATCTGGGACTCACTTAAAATTTTCTGGGCTCCAAAGGGTTTGGGCAACTCTATTTCTCAGGAACAGCAGTTTTAAAGACAACAATCTTTAAAACACCCAGCTTGTCACAGGCTAAGGCCAGTTTCATTCTGCATCTGCTGGGGTCCTTGGTCGTCATACACTGGTCCTACTGCCTCCAATATGCTTGGGTCTCCACTGAAACCGAGGTTGCATCTTTACCAATGGCCTCTCACAGTACCAAGCCTCTCCCTTCAGTCCTCCTGCAGCTTCCGTGCTGCCCAAGCCAGTATCACATGGGAGACTCTTAGATATTACCAAGTTTGGCTGCCAGCTTGAGATGTAGCCTTGGCCCCTTGGAAACCACCATCATAGAAAAAAAGTGATGTGGGGATATACATGGCATGTTTATTAACTGAGCTGTTTATTCCTTCAATAGACTTTTTTTTTTTTTTGAGAACGCCTACTGTGCTCTAGTCATTGGAAGGCAGATATAAGCCTCTTCGTCTCCGGGAGGTCAGGGTGTGATGGGAGACATAGCTATGTAGGCCAATCATTACAACACAGGTGATGGTGATTATGGAAGAAAGAAGGCATTGCATTCAGGAGCAAAGGCGTTCCACAGAAGTCTGAGGATGGACTCAGGTTGATCCGGTGTTGGGGGAGGGAAGGGCCTCCAGGGTGTGGAGTCACCTGAGCAATGGAGAGAGATTACCATGGAGTGTAGCTATGTATTTCACTGAAAGGGATAGATAGACAAGGCAAGGGGCCAGTGTGCCCTGGCTACTGCTCAGTAGTCAGGACTTTGAACCAGACATCTGGTGGTCGTGGAAGTGTTCTGAGCAGGCTGGTGATGTCAGCACACTCTAGAGTAGCCTCGGTGTTGGCTTGGGAACTGAGGAGGGGGTAGACGGTGCTGTGGGCAGGAAGCCAGCTGGACCCTGGGCTGCCGGTGTCCACTGCCATGACGCATGTTGTCCTGCATGACTGTGTCCCTCCTCAGGAGCAAGGCCGAATGCTGAGGAAGACCATGCTGGAGTTGGAGAAGCAAGGCTTGGAAGCCATGGAGGAGATCCTGAGCAGCCCCGAGCCCCCCGACCCTGCTGAGGTGGGAGACCTTTTCTATGACTGTGTGGACACCGAGATGAAGTTCTTCAAGTGATGTAAGCGCCCTCGCCCTTACTTACAACTTCCCACCCGACTAAATTACCAGCAGAGAAACGCTCTTCTGTTTGAGTAAAATGAGACTGACCATGTGGCCTCCTTGTGTCTAAATGTTCCCTCTGTTCGGCTTAGCAACCCCCCTTTCACTGTGTAACTCCATCCCTCATGCCTCTTGCTCCATTGTGTGATAAGGACTTGAAGACATTCTTGTATTTCAGTGACAATGGGCACCTTAGGAGAACGAGAGTTCCCTCAGCCTTGGTCAGGGCTGCAGGGCCACACTGGTGGGAAAGGCAAGAGCTGTGAAGGTCCTGGTCCCTCTCTAGCTAGGGGGTTTCTTCAAGGTTAACAAAAGACTTTTGTTCACACTGAAGGCTCTAATGTGTGTAGATGGGGGAGAAAACTCCCAGCTTTCCTCCACAAAGCACGATCTTATGTGTGGCTCACAGTCCCCCCAGGTATGTCTTGGGAAATAAAGCCAATGGGAATGAACCGAGGACCCCTGGGTACAGTTCCAGCTCTGTCTCAGTGTTTGTGATTCTGAAAGACCTGTCTTCTGTGAGCTGTGCCCACGCACAGTGGGATAGGCCTGCTTCCACGTACAGGAGAGCTGGGCGTCCGTGTTAACTGGACCTCCCCATCCAGCACCGCACCCACCCGCGGACGTGGCCCTGTGTAGAGATGACTTGCAATTTGATGGTCAACAACTTATATAAGAGTCACGAAATGGCCTTGGCAGACTTCACACAACTGCAAATCTCAGCCAATGAGGACGAGAAAGAGATGACCCTCTTGGCTGTTGAAAGCACCTGGAGTCTGGGTAGCCACCATCTCAGCAGAGACTGGAATGGAACTCGTTCCTTTCCAGTGCCATCGTGTTGCAAAAAGGATTCGACTCCATGGGAGTGTGTGAGGAAGACAGGGCAGGCTGAGGACAGACGCTGTGCCCACTGCCTGGTTAACTGGATCCCACAAGTCAGTGTGCTGAGCACCTGACCTCCAGGGTACCCCCCTCCCAGCCTCTTAGTTCTCATGCCCCATTGCCCAGCAGATGCCTTTGGACTGGTGTCTAGAATGGAGAGAGGATGTGGGTACTTATCCACAGCCACTCACCACTACTCCTGAAGGGGCCAAGGGGGTAAAGATGATGGACATTAGTGTAGATAAGAGGAACACCTAGTGGAGGGGGTGCTGTGGGGTCCAGTTATATGTCATCATTCTTGGCAGAGCCGAGCAAAGAGAAACCGTCCATCAGTGGTCTCGGGCATGGCTTAGGGTCCCCACATCATTCTTGGCTGCAGTATCATGGGCTGTGAGAACTGATAGAGGCCTGAGCTCTCATTTCACAATGTGACGCAGGCCAGAGGTTTTATTGGGACCAACCTGGCTCTTCTTTCCACCCTCCTTTAGGTGGGTGTGTGTGTGCTGTGAGCCCCTTTCTCAACTGTCTCGGGAGTTCCATGTATAAACAAAGGGCAAAACATAAGAGAAGGGACAAGTTCGTGACAGCCAACTTGTGGCTTGCAGTTGCTAGGAGCTTTGGGCAGGCTGACCCTGGCATCTAATGCACACGAACAGAGAGAGGGCGCAGGTAGAGCAGCTAAGCAAAAGATACCCGCAGGTGCGAAGGAAAGAAGGGCGATGTTTGAGGGGGAAAGAGTTGCCCGTCCAACCCCACCGGCCGAGCTTTTAAAGCAAGGTGATGTAGAAAACCATCCTGTGAATTCCCTGTGTGAGGCCAGCCAGTTTGTCAGATCTGACCCGCCTGAGAAAGCCAAGGTGATTTAGGGTTCAATCGGAAGTCCAGTGAAAGTAAGTGACATGGCGACCTTCTTTCATTACTCTGGCCAAGGCTGGAGATGGCTGCGCCAACTGGATGCCATTGCTCAGGAGGGCACAGGAAAACACAGTGACTGTTTCTATGGTTGGGTTTTGGAGCATTGTACATTTCAACCATGTCATCCTCTGACCACTAGAGGTCGCAAGAGCCCTCTATGGGCCACCTAGCAGACCTTGAGGGGCCTGGTTTTTTCTGCAATGGCTAGGAGCTGGGAATAGTAGCTTTTCTCACAGGAGGGGTGGGAACACAGGCTAGAACAGTATGGAATGGGGCGAGGTGCCCGCATGTACTATAGTGACTTTATCTAAATTAACAGCAGGAATGATACTGGATTTTGAGTAGGCAGATGTAGAAGAATATTCATTTTCAAAAGCTCCTAACGGATTTCTCTTTGAAGAAATGCTTCTGCGGTGGGTAATTTCATAAGCAAGAGTTGGTTTTCTGAACAACATGGAGAAGATGGATGTTCAGGATGAAATACAAATGGGATGCTTAGGATCACGCTGTAAAAAGCTTCCCAGAAGACCACCCAGTATCTACTAAGCCTCGAGCGTGGGGAATCCTGAGCACACTTTGTGCAGACTACCTGCCCCCACTTGCCCCACAGAGCCTAACACGAGCTAGCTAGTCTTGTGTGAATGAGATTTCCACTAAGTGAAAACAGCCTTGTAGCTGGGAGCAGACACTAGAGTGGGCCTAAGTTAGCATAAATAGGAAATAGTCTTTTATCATTCTTAAGGGTGTCTGGAAACTGTAGTAGAATAAAGAACTGATAAAAGCTATGGAGTCTCAGCCCCAACACACGATCCAGTGTTTGTGGGCGTCAGCCTCACAAGCTACTGAAGCGGATGAATGTCTAGTGAAGTTCAGTGCTAACATTCCATCACTACCAGGCAAATCAGCAACTATAAAAAATAATTGTCAGCCACAAAAAAAAAATAGCTCACATTGATACAGGTGATACCACTTCTGGCAGGCCCACAGGGCAGCCAGGTGTGCATACCTTGAAATCACTGGCTACATTCTTTTATTGCAAAGGTCTGCAGCTGGGAGCTCCGCTTTGGGAGAAAACATGGGGGAGCAAGGGGAGGGACCATGGACGGAGAGGACCGGCAGGTGCAGGGCCAGCATCCCAGCTCTGCCTCCCTTAGATGTGATGTTTCATCCCACATGGTGCGGAGTCCCGGCTCCTGTTCCGTGGTGCGTGTCCAAATGTGTTTTATCTGACTGAAGCCAACTATCCTGAAATACCACACACAGAATTCTTGCAGGAATTAATAAGTACGTGTCTTTAATCATATTGTGAGACGTGAAATGCCGTAGCTGGAGCAGTGTAACAGAGAACCTTTGTTTCCTGTCGCGGGGAACCGACTGTGTGGTCTTAACAGCCTTTTGTACAAATAGCTACGAGTCAAACAATGTCCCCATCCAGTGCTTGCCCTCGGAGTGTCTTTAAATGCACCCAATGTACAATAAAAATATTGAAGTCAATGCCCAGGACCCTTCTTTTGTGTTTCATGAGCACAGTCGGCACCGGTCACAAGACAAACGTGCGAAAGAAAGAACAGTGCTTTTCTGATGGGAACTTTAGAAAAACTCAGTCACCTTAGGAGGGCCCGACATGGTACCACTGTGAAGACAAGTCACTATTTAAAAACAAATCCCAAACCATAACCATATGCCACTCAGTTCCATCAGAACGGCAGCAGCGAGAACTGGATACCCTGCAGACCCAAAACTGCAGGATTTCCACATCACAGGGCAACAGCAGGATAAGCAAGGGGAATCCCAGGAAGGGTCCAGCATCCGTAGGGCAGCAGAAACCAGAGGCCTCCAACCAGACCAATGCAAGTAAAGCTATATGGGCAAAAGGGTTTACTGCGTGACTCACTGTGAACCATGACAGCTTCCATGACGAGACTTTCCCTCCTTTCTTCTTGTTTCCTCTCTTCTCTTAATTTTTATTGTTGGGGGGGGCTGCAAGGTCAGAGTGCGGATATGCAGGAACGGGAAATGAATGGGATCAAGATGCATGATGTGAAAGACACAAAGAATAAAAAGGGGTTTTTTTTGTTGTTGTTTTTTTAAATAAAGAAATCAACTACCATGTGAGGAGCTGAAAACATCATCCCTCACAGCTGGGAGATATGAAAATGGTTGCCCATTGTAGAAGATTGTGGAGATTTTTTTCAACAAATTCCATATGACTCAACAATTCTGCTTCCTAGTGTGTGCCAAAAGAATTGAAAGGAAGGCTGGAAAAGATGCCTGTTTGACCACCTTCCTAACCTATTAAATTATCTATAGGGGAGTGGATAGATGGTTATGTAATGTGGTATATCTGTGCAATGGAGTACCATTTAGCCTTAAGAGAAGGCAACTCTGATACAGCCACAATATGTATGAACCTTCTGGATATTATGTTGGGCTAAATAAATTAGCCACAAGAAGACATATATAAATCTGTTTACATGAAATACCTAGAGGGGACAAATACACAGACTGCTTGCTTTCCAGAGTGTGGGGTGTGCTGCCCTTACTTAGCTCTGGGACCCAAGTGTTCAGGGTTTGACAGTGTGTCCTCATCACTGTATGCCCATATTTACATTTACACCCCAATTTGGCCGATGAGGAAACTGAGGTACATGCAAGTAGTTTAATCCCCCCAAACTCGAGAGATTCATATTCTTGTTTGCCTTCCAGCTCTAGTCCCAATGGAGGAACCTCATCTCCCCCCCCCTCCAGGCTCCCGTGTCCACTAGAACCACAGCCTTGGAGATTAGAGGCCTCTGCTCCACAGAAAAGGCTCCTTTGAAGGCTGGCTGAGCTGCAGGGGAGAGACCAAGTGTTTTAGGTTGAAGGTTTCCTTAGTGTTGCATACATAAGGCCCTGGATTCGATCCCTAGTACGCAAACCTTTCCCAGTTTAATACATTGGCAGAAGCAAGCAACATACTTGGCCCATATTGTAGTAATAAAACTGGTAAATATATTGTTATCTACTTTAAAAATGCATATGGAAAGGTTTCCCCTCCCTGCACTTTTGGTTTTTCAAACCAAAAAGATTCTCGTGGGGGGCTAGAGGAAAGACTCAGTGCTTAAGTGATAATCGCTTAATGCTTTGGGGGCAAGTTTGGCATCATTGACAAAGATGAGGACTTGAGTCTAGACCTGGGGAGAAAGGCAGGCTGTGTCAGCCCGACTGAGCCTGGTGCCAGGGGTGCCTAGTGAAGAGCCACTTCAGTTTCAGGGGATCTGACACCCTCCTTTAGCCTCTATGGGTACCTGTACCCTAGACACATACATGCAAATAAATACATTTTCAAGGACGCTATTCTTGGTGTTCCAGAAATCCCTGGCCTTTGTTTAAGCCCTCCTGAGCCTTAAAAATGTGTCTTAGTACTCAAATCTGACTGGAACACATTCCTGCACCACAGCCTCCTATTATATTCCAGAAATGTGTGTAATCATCACCTGTCAATCAAAGAGGCTTAGATCAGGACTGGTGATCACAAGCGGAATTTGCAGGGAAACAGCCACAGACACTGCCACTTATTAAAGTTTATTGGGTACAAAGGAATGAATCTGCAGCAGGAGACACTGGTAAATATAAAATACAGGGGAGACACTGGGAGTCACAGTCTGCAACGTGAGGGCA